CCACTCTGGCCCTGATCACATGACTCCGGGACACTGCAATGTCATAAATACATGCCAATTGTCAAGCATATAAATTTTAATCTTGGCAGGGATTCTGCAACAGTCATTAGTGCGAGAAATGATCATAAGTCATTTTTTCTGTGCTGTCACAACTTTGAACGATTACTAGATGAATGGTTTTAAATCGAGGACTACCTGTATTGCAGGAGGGGTGTCATCTCACTCTGTTTATGAATCTATATTCCTGCCTGTAAGCTTCAAAAATTATTCTGTAACTTTTCCACCTTTTCCCATTTAAGATACTTTGGTGGGGCAAAGAAAAAATGTGGAAGAAAGAGTAAAAAAACATACAACTGGTTAACAACCTTTAGGCCTTTCATCTAAAACTGCTCCATTATCCTAGGTCTCCTTACTAGTAATCCATGTTCAATGGATTCCCTATCCCATCTTCTTCCTTATCCAAATTCACTTTCAATTTTGTTTTCAACCTGCATTTGTGTTTTTTTTTAACATCAGAAAAAAAAGTCAGTTCAGCAACAAATAGTAGTGAACTACATATTTCCAGAAGTTTAGGTTAGACTTAAGCAGGAGACATGACTCATCTAGATTAGAATCGTTATCATAGACATGAACGAAGCTTCACACACAACAGAGCAAGGAATTGCAAAAAAGTCAATGCACTTTGAAGTGGGAGTTGAAGTCCTCCAGGCTAAAAGTTGCCAAGGTTGGAGACCACCGATTTAGATGGTTGAGATGAAGAAGCCTAGACTTTTGGAACTTCATTGTCAAAGTCTCCAACCTCTTTGCATTTCAAAGTGAAACCTGGCAGGTTACTTGATGTCTAAGGGAAGTGGCTGTGATATGATTACATAAAAGCTGTTGGTTCCGGCCTCACTAAAGCCAATTCAATTGTGCAAATATTGATTAAAAGATGTACTCAGTCAGACATGTCAAATGAACCAGAGGTAGAGATGGACCCGAATTCCAGTTGCTTCAAGAATCCTCGTATTTATAAACTATAGTTTTCTCTCTTCGAACAAGACCAAAACAAATGTCTTCCTCTTGGTTTAGAATGTAGAAAAAAAGATTCACTATCATATTGGACCAGAGTAAATAGTTAATTAATGTAACCTAGCAACAAATTATGCTACAAGCAATAGCTATCATCTATTTTTTACAAATACACGAACATTTGAGAACTGGGATGCAAGCTTGCTTCAGGACAGCTGAACAAGATCAAACTCTGACATATTACTTGTACTGACTTGCTTGTGACAACCAGACACCAAAGATATTCTCTCTCATTTCAGAAGTAGCTTAATGTTACAAATTACTGCGCAGAAGAAAATTTCCCTTTCCAGCAGTGACGTGATCCTTGGGTAGCCTGATCTGCTCAGAAACAGATAGAAAGGAGAGAGAGAAATAGAGATTGGTAGTTAATAAGGGAAAGACTTCAGGTTTGCAGCTAACTAGGAACACATTCACACCACAGTGTTTCCACCAATTGGGAACAAAAAAAAATTCTTCATTTCTCCTAATTTGAAATGCAGAGAACAGCATGAACAAATCACTGCAATCTTTCAAGCCAACCAACCAGTAGCAAAGTAGAACCCCTCCCCCCACTCCTTTTGCTGGAGCAGCAAAAAAAATATCTTGCATTCTCCACTTTATTCTAAAAAGATGTCAAATAAATTGCCAGTGCTCATCCCAGCATGTACTGTGTGCAATTTTCTAGGCATCTGCAAAAACTCCAAAAAACTCCAAAAGCTTGTAGCTAGGTTTCTTCTCACATTAAACTTTGCCTTCTTCTTTTCAGTACTAACATTTATGATCTTACTTTTCTCTAATTCCTACCTCTTGCTTCTATCCATTCATAGAATTTATTGCAAATCATATAATATTCTGCATCTTCTTGATCTTTAATTTTAAAGGTTAATCTAACAATTTCAGCACAGTCAAAAAAAAATTCAAATTACAGCCTCCTCTGTAAAATCTTTTGCTGTCTGTGATTGTGAAAGAACAGCATGCTGATAACTGTGCAACCGTGTGTTGTTGTTTTCTTAGTAATATTATAGTTGCACCATTACTGTGGTATGAGATTGACTGGTTTGAAGTTCAGTGTGTTGTGCAAACACAACCAACAAACACTCATGACCTTGAACTAATCTAACAGAGACACTGCTCTGAATGAATTTATCGGATTTCTTGAATCACTTTGCCACCTTAGTGGATTCCAGATCAAGGCCTGTGGTCAAGGATGATAGGAGTTCTAGATTCACATCTTAGAGACCAATCTTGGAGAAATCTGGTCAGAATAGTTTGTATAACTATTAACCCAACTATTTCTGCTTGTTGTCCTTTTAGAAGTTCCAAAAGAGTGGCACAGGCTGGGCCTCCCTCCTTGAGTTGCCAGTTGGCAGAAAATCTAAAAGAAAACAAAATATCCTGTGTCTTAGTTCCCATCAGTCAATTGATGGGCAAAAACTGGCAGGATCCTCACAGTGCAGAGAGGAAACATTAATCCCTTTCTGTGTCCAGTAAACAGGTCAGACAACTTTCCACATCAACGCTCAGTTCAGAATAACATTAAACCACCATCTGATTGATTTTGTTTTGGCAAACAGGTGGTATGAAATTCCTGCTATGGTTTGCTGATCATAGTTTATAGCATTCGTGCAAAGATATGCAAACAGAGACAAAAGTCATATTTTCAACCATCTTTTTCTTTTTCTAGCACAAGGAAAAGTCAGTGGGACGTAGAAAAGGTATATGATGATAAATAGAAAATCATGTTATCTAGATCACTTATGTCCATTTACAAAATAGAATATAGCTAATAAGAGCCTCATCTAGAAGTTTCCCTTAGAATTGGAGAAAGCTGCCTCTTAAAGGCTAGGCTGGGACAAATTTTACAGTTGCAAGCAGGCAAAAGAAGGAAGCAGTTTAATTGAAAAATAAGAAGTTATACCTTTGTAACATACATTAATAGAGAAACTCTTGAGTACCTAGATGGCTACAATGAGGTTCATACACAATGCTAAGCCATACAACATCCAAGTTTATACATATACATGCATAAACACACACACACACACACACACACACACACACACACACAAACTTGGATGTTGTATGAGTCCTTACATTATGGTTTGTAAAACTGGTTTTATGGCCTAATATGCTGAATGAATGTGTTTGATAAACCATTATTGTGTAGCCATAGCTTATCATGAGGGCATCAACCCATTTTTAAAAGAGGTCCAAAGAGGTGCACCTTTTTCAGGTACATCACACTGAGGGAAAGCAACATTGAATGAAATTATATTTTCAAAATTGCAGGGATCAGATATGCTTAAAAACTTTCTAGGTCTTATCTAGACAATTGCAGGAAAAATTACATTTTAAGAGTACAAATCAAGAGAAGGAACTAGAGGTGTATTTGTAAATGTTGTGGTTGCTTCCCTCCCCTCATCTTCACCTTCAATCTTTTATTTGATTCTGGCATGACTTTGCTGTCTTTAAAAGCTTTACTCTTTCAGAAACACTGCATATTATTTTCCTTATCACTGACATGTTTCTGCCCATCATGTAACTTTGCACGTAGCTATACATTTCTATTAAGTGGAAAAGGCTAGACTAGTAAAGATTGTACTATTGTCAAGGTTTTGTGTCCTTATTAGGCATTACATGGAAGGGTAAAGAGTTGGGAAACCTGAAGAGAAGACCAAAGCAGGAGTGGAGGAATGAGAACCCTTTGAAAAGACACATACTGGGGAAATGCTTTGCAAAATTTCTCTTATTACAGTGTTGTGATGAGAAAAACTAACCTCATGGAAATCTGGTCTCTTTGTTATTATACCAAAAAAGGCTGGGAATTAGAATAACTTAGGAATGAAAGGCAACAAAAAAAGGAGAGAGTGATTTTATCCCAGAGTCAGTAAATGTGCTTATTATTATCTTCTTACTCTAGTTTGGCATTCTAGCCTTTGATAAAAACCTTAAACTTAAACCTTAAATTGTCTACCACGGATCTCACCCAATTCCTAAGAGGTCTGTAAAGGGGGCATACATAAATACATACATACATACATACATACATACATACATACATACATACATACATACATACATACAATAAGAATGGATCAAAGTAAAGAGTGGCAACAACAGATTTACTTCCACTTTTTATCAACAGCAGTATTTTTCCTGTTGAAAGCAACTGGCATTGCTGCTACTGGAAGAGGCTGTCAAGGGAAGAAGAGCTATTTTGTCTTCTCTACTCTACAGGCAGCATAGATGGCCTTTAATCGGAGAGCTGTCAGATATAGTCTGAAAACTCGGGATGATCATGAGATTGCAGCAAAGAGGGTTTTATGTGTTTCTTCACTGACATCTAGATTTTTACAGCCCAGAAGCGATAACCCTTCTTTACCTCCTTATTCCCAGAGGTTTAACAACATCTGGTAATCACATAGCAATATGGTCTGTCTCCTGCACATTCATAATCCTGGAGAAATGGAGATATTAACTGCACCTGCCCAAATTCTCTGTCCTACGTAATTATTATAGGAGCAGGCATGTTGCCTGCTTCTGTGCTTGGTTATCCTATGTTGGGCATCTTTCTCAGATATGAATTCATCATTTGGTTTCATAAGCTACAGTTTGCTTTTTAATTATGTTAAGGCAAAACCAAATCATGAAGTGTGAAGCCAGATTTTTACTTGCTCACTTTAATCACACATAATTACCAAGCCTTCTTCAACGAACTCTCTCCTGTCCATTGTCCATTGGCGAGGATTAGTCTGTAGTATTGGCATTTGTAACATAGGCCTTCAGCACTAGCCATGAAGAAGCTTCAAGTATCGTGATGTCATCATAAAAATGACACTATCATTTGTGTGATGATATCCTTGCACATGTGGTGTCACACATGATACCTTTTGCCATCTCCTCACAAATACACCCCCCCTTTTTTTAACCATTTCTATTGTGCTACTCACCAAGGCTGAAGTCACAAGATTTGTCGCTCTCGTACAGAGCTCTGGCAAAGATGAAGCTCAGGGGTTGATCCAAGCCTTCTCTCAGGTTGTCCAACCTCACGTGGTCTTCGGTTCTCATAACAAAGCTTTACTAATTGACTGAACTCTAATGGCAAAAGTGGAATACCGGTAAGAAACAAGGATGTTTGTAACTATTGGTGATTTGTCCATAATATTCATAAAACTTGACTGAATGAACATTTCATTTCTACAGAAGAGTCAAAGGTTGTGAACAACTGGATTCCTCAGGAGCAGGATCAACCTTAGAATACTGAACTTTATAACATACTTCCAGATACAAACTGAGAGCTGTAAATGAAAACCTTGTAGGCTGATCCTGGTCCTTCCGTTGGAAAAGCCTCCCAAAAACCTCATTGGGTTCTGTTAGCACCAGAATGTGGTGTATTATTGACAGAGATGTTTGCATAAAAATACATTTATCAAGGAAGTGAAGTATGTTCAATGAGGCATGATTTCTCACTACCTCTCAAATCCTTCAGAACCCAACAAATTAATGAACTGAACAAAAGGCAACCAACTTTCCTGCCATGTCCTTTTCCAAGATCCAGGCAAAGAGGTTTGGCTTGACATTTATGAGAAGGAGAAGAAAAAGAAGGAGGATCTGAAAAGAAACAGCAACCCAGTTTTTTGCAGAAGTGTTTGTTTGTTTCATAGCATGTCACATCCTAGGCAAAGGACCAGAACTTGTAGACGGAGAATATAAAACTTGGCTAGGATTAGGACTCGAATTCATCCCAGTGGGAATATAATATAAACTTTCCATATAGTTGCCATCAGGAACTGAAGGGGCTTCATGCTTTGCAAAATGGTTAAAACCATCACTAAAGTTTGCATTTTCTTGAACAGGCGGTTGGTCTTGGAGATCCAGAGGGCCAGGTGGTGGAGGGGGAGGGGGAAAACCCGGACATCCAGAGTAGGTCATGTAAGGTTGCCCATAACTTCCTGGATTCATGATCATTGATGGAAAAGGCGGTTGGTAAAGTCCACTGTGTGACGGCAGAGGAGCTGGTGGTATTAACACTTCAATGTATTGCCCTGTCTCTGGGTCATAAAGCATCTTCAACTGAGGTTGTCTTGGGGATTCTACATAATAGCATTTTCCACTCTCGGGGTCAACCAACATTTTTCGGTGTGCCTGTAGAGGAGCAGCAAAATGTCTTGTTGGGCTTGGAGCACTTTTACCCAAAGGTGAAACTCTTTCATTTCTTCTTGGGAAACTGGGGGACTCTTCATGTCTTAAGGGGAGTTGCCTAAGGCATGGGGCAGAGTATATCACATTATCGGAGGGAGTTTTCTTCTCCATTTGTCTTGATGGGAAAAATTCATTGCTCATTTTATTTCCAGGTAGGTCCACTCCTGGCTGGAAAGAAACGTTGGAGGTGAATGAAGTGTTATCCATGTGCAGAGGTGGAGACAGCTTAGGGTCTTGCTCAGATGGATGTGTTTTCACGGGAATAGTTAAGTAATTTGTGTTGTCAGCTTGGGTGGTAGAAAAATACTGTTCATTTGTTGCCTGGTGGCTGTTATTAAAATAATCACATCCAGAGTCGTGGATGTTTTCACCAGATGTTTTTGGGGTAAACATTGAATTCGACACAAGCTTGATTCCCTCCATATACTCTCTTGCTGTTAATGGATTATCTGAAATTATACTTTCTGAATGTATTCTGTGGTGTCCATCTAAGGGTTTTCTGTCTTCCATTGCTGTTGTTTCATATATTCTATCAACATATTGATTATGTGCCGGAGTTTGCATCTGCAAATTCGGAGTATTTATGACTGAAGCTCGGGTTGCTTGTGGGTACCTATAGTTTTCACAGGATGGCAGAGATTCAGAAAATATATTTTCTTCTTTTGAAAGGACAGAATAATCTTTACTGTCTTTGGGACCCACTGTGAGCGTCTCACAGGATCGATGTTTCTGATAGGGCAGTTCAGCTTCTTGCACTTTGCAAGAGTCCAGCATGCGACTTTTAGTTGAACGATTATTCTCTCTCATTGAGATTTCCTGGACATATGCCGATGGTGGAATCACAATGATCTCAGATGAAGCAACAGCTTTATTTTCTCTCTGATTAAAGTGAGGCCAGGTTTCTTTGTTTGTCCTATCATCTACTACAGAATAACCCATACAGGGGAAATAATCAGTTGCTGTTGTGTGTGGCTGCTTGGAGATAGAACTGTTCACTTGAATATTAAGCTGAGATTCTTTCTTGGTGGGGGTGGAAGCAGGTCTGACATTTAATTCACTCCGCTCACAAAGTATTGGTTTCTTTTCAACTGGGGGCTGAAATTCTTTATTTTCGACAGCTAACTTCTTGGACTGAATTGTAGTAATATGCACCCCAGATTCACCTATTGCTGAACATTTGTTTGATAGCATGGGAGGAAAATGGTCCCTGGACTTCCTTGTACTGGCCTCCTGGAGAGAAAGTGTTGACATATCTAAGCCTTCAGGTTGAGCTTGCTTTTTCTCCTGCGCATAACTTCCTGCCGGTACATAGTCTTTCCTACATATTGAAGTGCAGTGTATGAAGAGAGGAGAGATGGTAGCGGATTCCTTTGGAAACCAAGTTAAGCTGTCGCTTTCACTTTTTTCTGCACTAGAACTCCGGTCAGCACTGGAACCCTCTGCGGATTTAAAGCCAAGGTTGTAAGTCTCATTCACTATTTTTCTAACGTCTCTGGATTGATGTGTCCTTACATTCCCTTTGTCTGGCATGTGAGCAGTTCCCTCGGTGAAAGATGCTTTAGGACAATCGAATCTGCCAGTGTTGTGGAATTTGCCAGAATCTGGAATAATGATTGAGGACAGTTTCATGCTCTGAAATGTCGGCATCCTCTTGATGGCGAAACCTCTGTCCCAACACGTGTGCCTAAAGGCATTGGGAGCCCTGTGCTTATCCTTCATTTGTGGGATGAGTTTCATTTCTTTAGTTTTGGATACGAAGGTGTTCCTAGGGGTATCTTTGGGCACCGCCAGGCTTGAAGGTTTAAAAGGAAAGGTATCTTCTTTTGAATGCAGGGCCTTCTTTTGCTGGATAGCTCGCTGCTTCAGATTTGGCCATGGCTTTTGGGACTTTGCAAATTTGGGAACCAGAGGCAAGGTTTTGGGGTCATCTTGCATGGCCTCAAACACGGCTCGGGCTCTCCAATATTCCTGCCTTTCCCCTGAGGCCTGTTTTCTGATGTTGCTCGATTCTAGCACATTCACCCCACCTTTTGCCGAGACAGGGAGTCTGTCCAATGGAGCGTCTTCTTGGTACTTCATTCTCTCATTCAGCTCATTAAATGTATTTTTCAGCTTGTAAACATTCTCTCTTAGCTGCTTATTAAGCACAACTCCCTTCGTTGGCCTTAAGGCATTTCTTCCGCCCTCACTGATAGCAAGAGGTTCAGACCGCTCGCTGGTGGTGGAATGGCTTTGCACATCCTCGGTTGAGAAGCTGCAATCGGATTTGGACAAAGAACTTGACTTGCCTTCCAAGCTATCTCCCTGGAGATCAGTACTGATGGAGGAAGGTACCGAAGAAGGTGAACTGTCCTGGATGGAAGCTTGTTCCATTTTAATCCTTTGCTCATATTGCAATTTTTTAGCTAAGACGTTTTTCACTAGATTGGAAGCAAGCTTGGTTTTGCTATAAGCGTTGCCTAAAGAAGATGCTTTTAGAAACTGCTTATAATTTATCCGAAACTCATCACTAATATTCCTCCCCTTTGCAGACGGGTCTTTCCTTGGCTGTGTGAATGACTGCACGGGCGCAGGCTCGCCAGGAACACAAAAGCCCGTCTCCTTCTTGTCCTTCCGTCTCAACTGGATCTGGCGTTTGGGCACCATTCTCTTTTTAGACAGGCTCTTTTTGCCATCCGCATTCTCTTGTCTGAGATCAATGCACTCAAAGTGTTCCTTCCCCAGGACTCCACTGAGCAGTTCTGTTTCTGGGTCTTTGCCTGGTGGTGAGAATGGCCAGTTTCCTTTGCTGTGGCCAACCACCATTGTTTTCCTCTGATCACTGCACGGCGGCCACCTGTTCAGTCCATTACAATCTTCTGGCAAGGAATTGGACAGGCTGGATGACGTCCCATTACTAGAACTATACATATCTAGATAACTGCCTTGGGGACACGAGAGGCTCTGGAAAGACCCAGCGGTGAGCTTTTCCACTTCGTTATCAGCCTCATCGGAATCACTCAGAACACTTGAATTTTCAACAAAATATCTGGGGCATGCCAATTTGCTACTTACAGGACCATGAGGTCGACTGCCAAGGCTGCTCTTCTTCAGCTTGCGAGCACTGGGCAACATTTCCTTGGATTTATCAGCACTGAGTTGTGCAGAATGATCCAAGTATTTAGATCCGCTGCTGTCTCCTGGCTGCAGCCTTGGTGTGACTAGACCCATTCCACTACTGCATACTGGGTCTGAGCTATTATTAGCTTTGATTGACGTCTGAACCTGTTGGCTTTCTTTACCACTGGAACAGAGTTTGTCTCTCCAGTTTTGATCTTTTATAGCACTGGGGAGGTCTGCTTGCAGGCTCTGTACTCTTGCCCCTTGGACTGGCATTGAGCCTCCTAAAGTCTTGCTCTTATTTGGGGGGAAATGAACTTGGATGTCTCCAGAAGTTGCAGAAGAACTATTTCTTTTCCCTTGGTAAGCATTGCTGAAATCATTCAAAGTCCTGTGTGGTTGCCTGGCCGTAGCTGTGGAGATTCTGCTTTTGCGAGCAAGTTTTGTCTGATCTGCAGAGAGGATCAACATTGCTTGTTCGTATTCCGCGTCACAGTAAGTGCATTGCATGATACGATCCCCCCCAGCTTCTTCCAAGTATTCAATACAGTCTTTAAAACTCTCGGCCTCTTCTGAGCTTGGTGCTGAACGATAAGAGCTAGAAGTGTCGGAGGTGCAATTGCTAGAAACATGGCTCTCTTCTTTCTCCAGGGTAGAATGGACTCTGCAGTTGTAGTTTCTAAGCTCTTCTTCATTCGCTCCAACAGGCTGAGAAGAAAGTGGGCTCTTACTTGACACGGAGGAGAACATTTTTGGTGCTGTGGAGATCATATGAGTCTGTAATGAGACAATAGAAGACTGGATCCTTTTTTCATCCTGGGTGCAGCTGGGACTCTTCCCACTCAACCCTGAGAACTTGATCTCCTAATTGAAGCTCAGGTTCCACCTCCACTCCCCCTGCCTTTAATCCCCTCATGAGAAAAAAGGCCAAATCCTTGGT